TATATATATATATATATATATACAGAGTGCGGCGCCAAAATCCGGACAAATTTCAAGTTGAAATTCCCTCCGTTCAATACCACTGGTAGATGTTCGCGATTGGCATTCAAAATAGCTTGACGCATGTACTAAACCATCATAACCTCGAAACAGTTGCAATGTTGAAACCAAGTGCGGAGTATAGCCGAAGAGCCGCGATTGTCGAAAGTGTTCGCGCCGGGCGCTCGGTGACAGAAACCATTCGGTTCTTCGGGTATCCGAGATCAACTGTGTACGATGTCATCGCAAAGTACCATGAGTCGGAGAAGTCCAACAAAGGTTCTGCAACACCGGCGAGGAAAATCCACTCGAAGGAGCGCGTTGTCAGGACGCCCGACATCATTCAACGGGCTCAGGAGCTGATTTTTGAGGATTCAGGGCAGTCGATCCGAAAATTGTCGTCGGTTGTTGGTGTGAGCGAGAAAACTATGCGTCGAATCGTCGAGGAGGATCTTCGCTACAATTCTTACACAATTAAAGTGAGACAGATGCTTTCCGAAGCCGCTAGGACAAAGCGAGTTGAACGCTGCAACCTGCTTTTGTGTTCCTTAAAACACAATGCTGCCGGACGACTCAAGTTTTTTTCTGACGAGAAAATTTTTACTGTGGATGCGAAAATCAATCAAAGGAATGACCACTGGCTCGCCCACAACCCTGAAGATGTCCCCATTGCAAGAACGAAATTCCCGGCGAATGTTCACGTGCTAGGTGTTGTGTCCAGTGAGGGTGACGTTATGTCACCGTATTTTTTTAACAAAGGGGAAAATGTCACAAAAGAAGTTTATTTGCGTGTTCTGACAAATGTAGTGAAGCCGTGGATAGAAACTGTGTCGTCTGGAAAGCCATATGTTTTCCAGCAGAACGGTGCGCCCGCCCACACAAGTCATTTGGTGCAAAATTGGTTGTCGGACAACGTCGAAATGTTTTGGTCGAAAGAATTCTGGCCTCCCAACAGCCCAGATTTGAATCCTTTGGACTTCTACGTATGGGATGTGGTTGAAAGGGTCACAAACAAGTCCAGACATCCAAACGTCGCATCATTGAGAGCCGCAATTGAAACGGCATTCACCGATATGGACCGTGACATATTAAAGCGTGCCTGCGCACGCTTCAGACCGAGAATGGAGGCGGTCATTCAAGCAAACGGGGGATATATTGAATGAATATGTTCTTTATGGCCTCACAAACAACGAAGGTAAACAAATTTTGTAAACCTTTTCGTTGTAGCAATAAAACATATGTTTGAAAAAAATGTATAATTTGTCCGGATTTTGGCGCCGCACCCTGTATATAAAATTTAATATTGAACAACTTTAAATTAATATTTTAAATTACTATAAATTATTAAACAACTTTAAATTAAATTAATATTTTAAATAAACTATTCAAATATTGAGCCGTTTAAAAAAA